GAATGTGTGTGAAGAGAAGTGAATGCTCAGAATGCGCCAGATGCAACCAAGGAGACTCGCCTGCCCCCTTCTGCCTTGATTTACTTGTTCTTCCCTCCCTTTTTAATTAAGATGCAGCTTTTTTTAAAATTTCATGTAAAAGTAGGTGCGGTTTTCTCTTATTTATTTTAAAAAACGGGCACTTTTTAAAAAATAGATCCCCCCCCCATGCGCGGGTTTGTGAGTTGGTTTGTTCGGTGCATTTTTAACATGGCCCTTCTTTTTATTTTTCCCAAGAAGGAATGCAAAAATAAGTGGAGAGTCAACATGCAGAAAGGTTGGGGTCTTCTCCAGAAAGACAGCACCCCAAATGTGGAGCAAAGATCTACCTATTCTGATGAACTGTTTTTGCTCCCCTAGGTTGTAGGGGGGTTCCTCGGGGCATCAAGACCACACAAACTGGACACAAAGCCTTGGCTCACACCACGTTTGAAGCTTTGGTGTAAACATCGCAGTCATGGCTGGAAACCAGGATTGATGGCTTTCTAGTGTGTCAGTTTAGCCAATCCTGGTTTATTCAGTAAACACTATGGCTTGATGTGATGAATGAATCTAGTGCCAAACAGTTTGTTCTCAGCTCCTGGTATTCAGATGGCTTTGCACAGATAAGGAAGGATCTGCAAAGCCATCATGGGTAGTTGAGTTGTGACAAACTGATCCTTCTCCATCTCCCTGGGCCAAAAGGCATGATGCAAATTGTTGTAATTTACTGCTGGTGTTGTCAGAAAGTGTTCAGCTAGGCAACAATCCAGAGCTGATTTAGAAAGCCTAATGCTTGGATGTGTGATCATGAGGAAATCTCAGGTTTGAAGATTAGATAAAGAAATTGAAAGTCATCACTGAAAAAAAGTGAGGGCAATTCATCGCCGTACATTGCCAAGAAAACTGCATGGATGTGTCCATATAACTCATGAGACGAATTCCATGTTGTCCTTTTTAAAATCAGGAAGTCAGTGAAGTTCTGACAAGTCTTGGTTTGAGTAGTCATTGTTGGAGGAGAGCCATGTTAATCAATGGGAGCCAACAATCAGGAGGAGCCTGGTAGGAGCTTTCCAGACTAATAAAAGCTTCTGCCTTTTAATAAAATTGGTTAGCCTGAAAAGGGGCTGCCAAGGTCCTTCTGATGTTTGAGACCAAGTAAAATCTCAGTTGTAGTCAAGCCTTCATCCATACTAAGTAGCCACCCTGCAAGGTCCTTCTCCGGTTACAGCAGAGAGGCCATTGAAAAGCCAAATCAATGCTAGTCATTGGGCCAGAGGAGATACAAAGATGCCAGACAGGCATTTTTGAAATAGGAATAATCACACAAGCAAAGTGTTGGGGGGGGGGGGGGGTTTTTTTTTTACTAGAAAACTGACTGGGTATCCAAAAGTTGCATATAGCTCTGCTAAGCCATGGTTTTAATAATGTTTGTTAAATAAGACACTTGGCACTTGACTCAGATTCTAACTTACTGGCACTTTTACAGACCATAATGGCTGGTGTTGCACTTTTCACTAAGCCAAAAGCAAAGAAATTACCTTATGGCTTAGTGCAAGGTGTGAACCAGATGAGTGTTTTTGAATTCTCCACTGGAAGTATTCCCAAAGAGACATTTTGAGTGCGCAGATCAGCATCTCTAATTGCATTCAGTTGAATTCTGAATGCAGGTACAGTATATTTTCACATTTATTTTTATTCATTATTAAATGCATGCCTGTCATTCTGTTTATGTAAGCAAGGCGGCTTACAACAATCATACTATATGATTTTTAAAATGGAAAAACAGTAAAATTAATAGTGGTAACATCCACTGCATACCTTTCCTCTCAATCCTCTCTACAGATGGGAAAAGCCTACCTGTGATCTGTATTATTGTTCGCTGATCAGAAGTTGCAAAGCTCTTTATAAATATGATAGAGGGAATTTGAGCTGGTTTTTTAAAAATGTAAAGACAGTAAGAGGATGCAAAGTGCACCATTAGGGTCCTTAGTTATTTAAAAATCTGTGGTTACCATCTTTTAAGCTTTCATACGATCCTTCCCAGGTAGAGTGTAACTGCACCTATTACACTTGATCCACAGAGAAGGAAAAGCATTTCACTGTTGTTATTATTTCTAAAATAAAAATTAAATAACATTTGCCTCTTTTTCTCTCTCTAAAAGCAAAGGTGGGCAACAAGGGGCTGAGGGCTATATGTAGCTCCCCTTTTTGTGACCCCCAGAGATTTCTCTGGCCTTAATTTCTGCAAACCGAAGGCTCCACGTCATTCAATGTGAGCCAATGTGGGGTAGTGGTGGAAGGGTAGACTATGAGTGGGAAGATCCAAGTTCTAGTCCCTCCTCAGCCCTAGAAGCCAACTGAGATGACCTTGGGCCAGTTACTTTCTCTCAGCCCAAGAGCCAGTGTGGGGTAGTGGTGAAGGTCACCACTTTCCAGGGAGTGGGGAAACCCAGGTTCTAGTCCTCCCAGCCACAGAAACTCCTTGAGGGACTTTGGGTTACTCCCTCCCTCTCAATGCAAGAGCCAAGATAAAGTAGAGGTGAAGGTACTAGACTAGGAGTGGGAAGCCCCAAGTTCTTATCCCCCTTCAGTCATGGAAGCTCCATGGGGGTCTATGAGCCAGTCTCTCTCTCTCTCTCTCTTGTGGGGAAAAATGGGAGATGGGAGTGCTATTATCAATCCTTTGAGATAGGCCCGGTCAGGAAACAGATTCCAAAAGGACTACTACTCTATTCTTCTAGGGCAGTGTTTCTCAACCTTAGCATCTTTAAGATGTGTGGAATTTAGCTCCCAGAATTTCCTTGTCCGCATTGGGGATTTTTGGGTGTTAAGTTCAAAAATTATTAAATTGTTGATGGTT